TTTCCTGACTAGGATTCTGGACTGTATCAAGGGAGAATGGGAACTGAGTAGCCTCCATGCATTCATTGCTCCCTTCTGACATATAAGGTAACCAGCTGCTCCAAGTGCCTGCAGCCATGGCTTTCCTGCCGTGATAGACTATGTCTTAACTATGAGGTAGAAGACGCCCTCTCTCCCTTAAGTTACATGTGTCAGAGTATTTTAATCACAGCAACAAGAAAATAAATTAAGACAATGGGGAATGTAAAGAGTGGGGCCCGGGGAGAAAAGAAATGAAAACAGTCAATCAAGAAACTGTTCAGGGCTGGAGGGATGGCTCAGAGGTTAAGAGCACTGACTGCTCTTCCAGAGGTCCTGAGTTCAATTCCCAGCAACCACATGGTGACTCACAACCATCTGTAATAAGATCTGGTGCCCTCTTCTGGTCACATATGCTGTATACATAATAAATAAATAAATATTTAACAAAAAAAGAAAGAAAAGAAACTGTTCAAGTGGAATTCAGCAATGGCTTATCCCCAAGAACAGAGGGGACAACGAGAAGGGAGACACTGAGGCAGGTGTGTAACGGTCATTTTATTAGCATTTCCTTGAAGCTGACTCTGTTGCCTCCATCTTCTCCATCTCTTTTATAGACTCCTCTGTTGCCACACAGTCTCTAAGCTTTACAGAACATCAGGGTTCTCTTCTGCATCCTCTTCTCTACCCACTTCCCACTGCCCCATCATGTTGTCTCATCCAGTTCGATGATTTAAACTGTATTCTTCAGTCCTCTTTTGCCACAGAAGTCTATATAAGAAACCACACTAAAGCATGATGACTTTTGGCAATTAACATTTATGTGGCATGCGACTCTGCAGATGGACTGAGTAGTCCTGCTGGCACCGCTACTTAGAAAAGACAAGACAAGACAAGGTCTGTTTTTATGATACAGCCTGGTTCCCTCGCAGACCTCTTTTGTATCTGGGATTGCAGGAATGCACCACCATACTCAAGTGTCCTGCCATGGCTATAGGCTGACTGAGGACAGCACTGGCTGGAATGACGGGGTCATGTAGTACATGTGCCTTTTTCTTCTTCAATCATGAATAAAACAGAAGCAATACCAAATGCTTCAGCATTTAGGAGCCTCTGGTCTCATGTTGTAGCATGCTGTGTCAGAAATGCAGACAAACACACTGGTATCCCTCCACAATGTCAGCCTGTTGTGAATAACAACGGATTCATGAGGTATGGTGGCTGTGTTGCCCACAGTTTGCCAAGTAGTCCTAATTTCCTTACCAGCCAACCTAGCTAGACAAACAGTTTCATTTGCTTCCATCTTACTGATTAGAAGTAACGCTCAGGCCACACAGTAAATATATCCTTATTTATATATAGATGAATGGATGGGTGGATATGTACATTACAGAGGCTATAACCGAATTAAGGAGGTTCATAGAGGCCTAAGAGAGGCAAAGGGGGAATCTGATAGGGGTGCAGAAAGACTCTCTGTTGTAGGAGGGGTCAGATAATTAATCCCACTGGAAGTCTGCTGGGGGTGCTGCTGGAGAGTCAAGGGTTGAGCGACACCTCTGGGAGTAGATCTGCAGAAGTGAGGTGCAGAGTATAGACAGAGGAGAAGGGCGGGATCACATCTAGAGTGATGAACTGGCAGATGGACAGACAACTAGCTGAAGCCCTTGGGACAACAGGGAGTTCTCTACTGGTCCCTTCACACACACACACACACACACACACACACACACACACACTGGGTAGTCAGATGACAGGTTGGTGGCCTTCTCATCAATGTTAAGTGTCTTCCTCTACTTGAGGTCCAAATGAGGAAGTTACACCCTTTTCTCAGTCTAGTGTATCTAACAAGTTCTCGGGCCTGGTTTACCTGGAATGTTTTAACATCCTTATGTGTTCTACAGTCCCAATTTACTTGGATGAATTTATAAAGTGGCTATCCTTTCTATTTACAGAAAAAGGTTATCAGACTGTGTATCATGGATGGTGCTGGACAGCGCTGTTTATGTGCCCATCCTGCTTATGAATCAAAATGGAGCCACATGATGTTGGTATCATGGAGTCCCTCAAAGCAAGGCAGGGTCTGAAAAACCACTGTCTTACACAAGACAGAGTAGCCTAGGGTACTGCACAGCCTGATCAACACTGCATGGTGTTTGTTAGCATCCTGTGAGTCACGGATGGGAAACCACTTCAGTGTTATCAGACAAATGGCATGGATACAGGGAAAAATGAAAAACTGAAGCCATTTTCAAAACAATCCATATCCATATGCAAAGGCTCCCAATTTAGATATATAGATGTGATCTCCTTTCTCTGCTCTAGACATGCCTATTCAATTGTTTGGGAGAATAGCCCACTTGCACACTCCAAGCATATTTATCACAGGAATTTTATTTTCTTTCAAAAATCTTGCGTCTAATGCTTTCTTTCTCAATACAATACAATGATGCCATCCACTGTTGCTCAAGTCAGACAACTGAAAATAGTCTTTGACATTTTTCTCCCAATCAAGATCTATTAGTTCTACCTCTAAAACATCTCCTTTTAATTTTCTCTTCATCTTCTTCCAAGTTGCTTTTATCTCTCTTCTGAACACCTAAACATATATCACTTTTAACTTTGATATAAAATCTCAGACCCTCATCAAGATCTTCAATTAAGCCTCCACCACCATGCTTTTCTTGTGCAACTTTCTCCTCAGTTTTGAAATTCCTGTAGCACAGGCCTTTGTTCATTATCCATTTACAGGATCTTTCTTACCTCAAGGCCTTTGCCATGCTCCCAATAGCACATCCTGTATGATAAGAATATAGACGTCGCAGCTACCCTTACAGCTATGTGATGCTAAGTGAAACTCGGTATCTGTAAAATGGGAATAGAATTGGCACCTATATCTTGTAAACATCCTATGTATCCTACTACACTACACCACCCAAAACAGAGTAAACAACATTTGAGTTTCTTAGCTAAAATTAGTTATTCAGTGGCTAGCTTAAACAGATATTTCCTTATTTCTCCTAACTTCAAGACAATTTGTAATTATTTATTCCCTTTCAGCTTTAGTAGTGTTCTTTGATGTCTGTTTTTTCTCATAAGACACTAAATCACATGATTTTCTAGCATCTGCAGCCTACACACCACCCAATTCCTACTATCTACAAAATAATTACATGCACAGATGTTAAATATTTGTTGAATAAATAAATAGTTGTTGTAATGGGCTCAAGCTTCCAGTTAAATTATAATCGGCCAACTGGAGTTCAAATCTCTCTTTACCTAGCAACCTTGACAACATAGTAATTTTTAAGTTCATAACATCCAGTTCAGGTTGGTCTCTTTCTACAATTTTATGAAAGAATGGGTATGGCTTGCCAAATTGTCTTCTGTGAAAAGTCTTCTCCCTAATAAGAAACAGGGCTGTAGGGAAGGGAGATACCTCAGTCAGTAAAGTGCTTGTCTCACAAGTGTGAGGACTTCAGCTTGGATCCCCAACACTCACATAAAGAGCAGGATGTGGTGCTGTGTGCCTACAAACCTAGAAATGGGAAGCCTTAGACAGGAGGGTTGTGGAGCACAGTAGGCTGGTCAAGCCAAATCAATGAGCTCCAGGTTCAGTGAGAGACTGTGTCTCAAAAAATAAGTCAGCGAGTAACCGAAGAAGACACCTGACCTCAATCTCTGGCCTCCACACACAGTGGCATATATATAAATATGAGGAAGAAAAATCTGGGTTATAGTGGCAGGAACACACAGAAATGACTACAGTGTATGGGGTCACCATACAGTACTTACCTGAACAGCAGTTATTAGAACAAAGTATGAATTTGTATCTAGTGATAGGAATTTGTACTTTAAAATAAGCATGGAGAGTGGAAGTCAACAAACCTTATGCCAAAGGAAATTTCTGGTGCTGTTCTTAGTTCATTATCATAACAAATCTAAGAGCCAGCGAGGTAAAAAAATCTAAGGCTCAGTGGGTAAAAGCACTTGCCTCCAACCCTGGTGACCTGCGTTCAATTCCCAGGTCACACCTGGTGGAAACAGAGAATAAGCTCCTCCCTTGTCCTCTGACTTCCTCATGTGCGCCACGCCCCCTACCCCCACGCACAATATAACGCTTCAATTAAAAAGATAATAGAAATCTAGCTCTTGAGGTATGGAAGTAGGCAAGGCTTGAATTGTGCCATTTCTGTATACAGCAAAAAGAAAATAACATTGCCTAGGCAACAAAAAATGGGAAATCAAGCAGATATTATTTTCTGGATCGCGGCCCACATAGCTGAATCCTTTGCCACCTGGACACTTATGTACCTCTAATCATATCTATTGCCTATTAGAGCTGGAAATCTAATATTTTTATGTGTCTATGTGATAGCTATTTTAACTCATTTAATCTCCCTCGGCCGTTTAACGTGGGTAGCATGGCCCACGGTGATAATACGTGGTAAAAACAGAATTATACATTATAATTATGATCTGACGGCTATAGTCGATATTCCACAAGAAGAGCCGGCCTTGCAGTTGAAGGCATTTAGGTCATTAGCAAAACCTAGGCGGGCAGTTGGTTTAAACACTGGTGTTCAGAATTACTTATTTGTTAAAATTCACACTCCCTAGCCCAAACCTGAAGAAATCAACAGAGGTTGTACTTTTTTTTTTCTTTTAAGAGAGAAGCTGTCGAGCCAGGGATTCTGTGGCCGGCTATCTGTGCACGGAAACTAAACCTCGAGTAGACTGTACCCCTGGCTGAAAACAAGCAGCACTGCAGCGTTCGCAGCTTCGAGGAACTCTGTCCGCAGCGCCGCCCCGTAGTCCGCAGCCACAGGGCCGCACTGAGCACGCGCGCTGCGCCGGGAACTCTGGGACGGCCTCCCCGAGACCCCGCCCCTCTCCGGCTGGTAAATCTCCCACTTCCGGCTTCTCCCGCGGAAGCCCCGAGGCCCCGCCCTCGGCCCGCGGACCAATCAAATGCAGGATTGCTGCGGCGGCGGACCAATGGCCAGGGCTGTCTTTCATCGCTGCCCGCGGTTTGAAACTGTCAAGTGGCTGCTAGGGTAGCAGCTGGGCTTGCTGCGGTGGCGGCGGCGGCGGCGGCGACGGCGCTGGGGGCCCCGCGAGTGAGGAGTCGGGGTTTGGCGGAGAAGGTGGGTACCCGCGGCGGCCCGGCCGGTTCCTCCCGGACAGGACTCGGGGCGTCATCCCTGGAGATGCCCAGGTAGAGAGGACGCAAGTGACGCGAACTGAGCCGCGCGGTTACCAGCCCCGCAGGGTCTGTTCTTTAGGACGGAGGGGGAGGTAGTCAGACGTGAGGTTGCGGTGTACTGAGAAAGAATTGGGTTCAAACGGGCTTGGACTGGAAGGTGGTGAAAGGAACCTTGGAGGGACCGGCGCTCCCCCTCTCTTTGCAGGCAGTTGGGACGAGGGGATGTCACCTTCCTGCCAGTGGCACGTTGAGTCGCCCACTGTCCCTTCGGGGTTGCATTTGAGCTCCCGGAGCCCGCTTTTCAGCTTTGTGGTGCCCGTGGCAAAGAGGAGCCTTCAGACCATCCTGTGGTTTCTACTTAGGTTAGAGAGAACTGCGAGTGTGATGGAATAATGTGTGTCACCCACTAAAGCAAGCATCATTCTTCTGCTTCGTTTCTGAACCCAGAGACTGTGAGGAAATGCTACTGTTGTCCATTCTCAAGGTAATTGTCATGCCTGCTTGCAAAGAGCAGGGTAAATGGCAGATAACGTATTTTTCCAAAAGCACAATCGTTTTGTGTCCGCGGTATATATTTAAGAAACAATTTTTGACGTCTGATCATACCAGCTCATTTGTTACTAAAATAATCCACAACTCCCATGTCTGGTTGCCTACCAGGTCTGCAAACAAATCATAAAGGAAAGTGTCATGAAGATTAAAACGGACCAAATTACCACCGTGGTTGGTTTGAAATTCGTGAAGCATTCATTCCTAGATGCAGATCCATGCTTATTTTGTCTTCCCTAAATGGCTTAATGGAAGACAGTCACAGCTGAGATTTAGTTTATTTATCCTTTGTAAACATAGCAATACTGAATAAAACAGCAGTTCCCCTTCCAGAATCTGGCTGCAACCTGGCCTTCTATTTTGTGACTTCCCTGTATCCCTTCCTTCTACTTCAATGTCTTCATCTCTTGTTTATTTTCTTAGCAAACCGTAAGTGAGGCCTGTTCCAATAGCAACTGAAACTGTCACAAATGACTCAACAACTTCCCGATTGGCAAGTTGAGGGCCATCCTTACCCCTTTTTGGTCCACGACCCTCAGGGTGTTGCCCACATGATTCCAGTGTGTGTTTCTGGCTTTCTCTCCAGTCATATGACCAAGTCTTCTTTGCGTCTTAAAAGTCAGCAGTTGTTCCCCGGGTGGTGGTGGCGGCGGCGCAAGCCTTTAGTCTCAGCCCTTGGGAGGCAGAGGCAGGCGGATCCCTGTGGGTTCAAGGCCAGCCTGGTCTACATGGCCAAGGCTCCACAGAGAACGCTGTCTCAAAACACACACACACACACACACACACCAAAAAAAAAAAAAAACAACTTAGCAGTTGTAGATTTAACTGTCTTCTCATGGTAGCAGTCCTTAACTTTATTAGGATTATTATATCCTCTGAAATTATATTAGAAGCTAAAAATTTTTCTAGAAAATACACATGTATTTATATTCTAAAAATGTGCAATGTGTGTGTTTGGTCTGCAGGATAATAACTCTTTACCATACCACAGTGGGTGGTCCCATTCATTCCCCTTTATTTAGTGAACCCCAATAAGTCAGTGTCTCCTCAATCTAAATCTTCAGCCTGTACTTGTGAGGCAGGCCTCACCTTTAGGCTGAGTTTAGGAACTTGACTTTTGGAACCATTATTACAGTCTAGCCATTATGAATTGCAGGGCTTGGAGCTGTGCACTGAGTAGTCAGTGCACCACACAACAGCTCTCCCTCTGTAACCACAGTCAGCTGATTGGGTCCCAGACACCTAAGTCTGCAGGTGCTCAAGAGACTTGTATAACATGGCATGGCATTTGCATGTAGTCTATTACACATATCATCCTTCACACTTTAGACCATCTCCAGTTTACTTATAACTGATACAGTATAAATGCTAGGTAAGTAGTTGTTGTGCAGTATTTTTCAGGAGATGATGATAAGAAAAGTCTGCATGTTCAGTGCAGATGCAACTTTAAGAAATATTTTTAACCCACAGATGACTGGATCCATGGATGTGGAAACCCAGGGACACTGAAGGCTGACTGTACTGCATGCCCACAGCTTTACCCAGTACTTCCGGGGCCACTTCATGCCAGTACACCTGGTACTGAGCTCATTCATCGTCCATCCTCCAAGAGTCACCTTCCTGCATTCCTCACTCTGGTGAGTAGTACCATGGTCCATGTAGTTACTCCAGACAGAAATCTGTCCTTTGAAGTGGCGGTTGATTGACCCCTCGTGTCCGTGACCACAGCACAGCTGTCTCAGAGCCACACCTCCTTCCCTCCTAGGTCAGTGATGAGAAGACCCTTTGCTGCTGGATTACTGCAACTGGCTCTCCATTGGCTTCTCTGTTTTAGAATCCCAGTCCTCCCTAAAGCCCTCAAGAGTAATATTTCTTTAATAAAAACAAACAAGGCTGTGTCTGGAGACGCAGCTCCGCAGTAGAGCCCTTGCCCTGACATGCACAGCTGCATATGGGTCAGTCCTCAGCACTACAGAAATGAATAAACAACAAGGTGATCACGTCAGTTGATTAAAACATTTACTATCTTCTGGAATGATTCAGACTTTTTTTTTTTTTTCCGAGACAGGGTTTCTCTGTGTAGTTTTCGTGCCTGTCCTGGATCTCACTCTGTAGACCAAGATGGCCTCAAACTCACAGAGATCCGCCTGGCTCTGCCTCCTGAGTGCTGGGATTAAAGGCATGCGCCAGCACTGCCTGGCATGATTCAGCCTTTTAATATGAAAGGTCATGACTGTAACTGTTCCTTTTGGTTTCATCTTTACTTTCAGACTTTGCACGCCTCTGTATCTTGCCCTGTGCTGCTCAGTTTCGTCTTTGGTCTGTCTTTCAGGGTGGACCTGCTCATCTTTCAGGTCTCAATATCTGGACCATCTTGTCTCTCTTAGAGAGTTTGAATAGTTACTATTTGTCTTTTCAAGTTCTTTTTTTTTATATATAGTTTTCTTTAGTTAAGACCTTTAGTCATTTCAATGTGTACATTTTAGTATGTTGTAATGTATAAATTTAATTTTCTTAATTTTTTTACAATAATATTCCCAACATGTAAATGCCTCAGGAAGGAAATTTACACAAATTGCTGGGCTGTCTTAGTTCCACATCTCACGGGAAAGTATGCAGTCCCTGAGATGTCACATAAAGCTGAAGAATGGTAACCACGAGCTCTTGTCTCTAACAGACCCTGCAGGAGAGTGTCCTGGAGCATTTTTCTTTAACCGTTCATGTATTTTGCTCATCTCTTTCACTATATTATAGATATACTAACGTTTGGTGTAAGTCTTTTTTGGCCTGATGATTCTTGCCTGTAAGTACTCAGTATGTTGAGTGGGTGATGTCTTCTAAGTGACATGAAAGTGTTTGCAAGTTAAAGCAGTGATGCAGCCCTTTGTAACTAATAAAAGCTTTGGCTTAAGTATTACAGGGAACAACTAGAGTTAACTTGTGTTGTTTTATAGTGTCTGTGCAGGATGTCATCTGATGAGGATAAATATTCAGTCCATGTTGCTCACAATAACTCTGATCCTGATAGTTCGGTCTCCACAGACCTTCAGGTAGGAAGACATCTAAATTTCTTATGATTTCTTTTAAATGCATAAAGCCCTGTGTAATGGTGTATGTCTTTAATCCCAGCACTCAGGAGGCCAAAGCAGGGGGATCTCTGTGAGTTTAAGGCCAGCATGGTCCACATAGAGAGTTCCAGGACAGTCAGGGCTACAGAGAGAGACCACCACTCAAAAAAATCAGGACAGTGGTAATTTGTGGCAAAACCAGAAATACATTTTTCGTTTACTTATACCATTTACAGTGAAATAGTGCATTTACAGTATTTTCAAACTTAAAGAACTCTCTACTAATTTGGGGAGTATATTGTTTTAAGTTTTCAGAAAATAGCCATGAACTGTTCAAACTAAAACTCAAAGTTTCAGAAACGTTTTCTGAAATGTTCTCATTTAACTACCTCTGCTGGGTGCTCTCATTCTTAATGTAAAGTAACAGAACGTCAGCCCGTCTGAAGTTCTGGAGCCCAGGATACTCCAGTGTTCTTTGCAGTGAAGTTCTGGTTCCTGTTGCCACTTTGATTGGACACTGAAAGACAAGTTAGGAGAACTGAGTAGGTAAGGGTGCCTTATTTACGTGAGAGATTCAACTCCCAAAGACCGTATTTCCTGACTACCTTAGCTGCAAGGTCAAACCTTTGCCAGGTCAGAAACCCTGGGACTTGTTTACAGGAGTAAAGGAGAAACGGGCGCTCGTGTCCATGGGCAGGATTACTACAGGACTCACATTTAGGCCTCTAGACACCATGAATGCCTTGTGTCTTATCCAAGCTGATCAAGGCAGGGTTGTCTTTGATAACTGAAAACTTAGGGTTTCCTTTTACTTTAACAACCAGATATAATTTGCAGGTTTTTTAAATTTAAGAATATTTAAATCTTTTTAAAGAATTATAATGTATTTTTCACCTAATGTTTAATGCATATGTGTATTAAACTAGACTCCCAAGTTGAAAGTCAAACCAATCACTCTTTCACATTGAAATTTCACAGTTTTCAAACAGAATAGTACAAACTCCTTTTACAATTTTACTTAAAATTCCAATGCTAAAACAAAGCTACAATTACACAGATTTATTTTATGAACTCAAATCCATGGCAGTTTCTTCTAACAACAATAGCAAAAATAAGCAAGCTGCCCGGGGCACTGTGAGTATGGCTTGAAACTAGGTGAAACAAAATGTCTGTGTAGTTCATAAGCTTGAGTATCCAGTTTGCTTCTTTTGAGTTACAGAATGTCAAGAAAATTCTGGGACCTCATGTGGTGGTGCGTGCCTATAATGCAAGTACCCAGGAGGCTTAGGCAGGACGAGTACAGGCTTGATAGCAACCTGGGTTACATGGCAAGTTCCAGCCCGGGGAATACAGGGAGATCCTGTCTCAAAATAAGAGAGAGAGGGGAAGGAAGGAACGGAGGGAGGGAGGGAAGAAAAGTAAAAGGGAAGAACAGAGAGAGAAAATAGAAACTGAGTCTCAGTTTAAGTACTTGAAATTGAAAGTGATATATATTTTTTTTTTTTTTTTGGTTTTTCGAGACAGGGTTTCTCTGTGTAGCTTTGCGCCTTTTCCTGGAACTCACTTGGTAGCCCAGGCTGACCTCGAACTCACAGAGATCCGCCTGGCTCTGCCTCCCAAGTGCTGTGATTAAAGGCGTGCGCCACCACCGCCCGGCCAAGTGATAGCTTTTTAACAGCATGTCTTGTCTCATCTTCAGTTAAATTGATCTGAAATGTAAGAAAGAAGAGATAGAAAAATATTCTATTGAATCACCAACATCTGTTACCTCTTTAAACTTTTAATTGTAAATATAAAAGTCATACCAGAAGTACTCAAAGGACTCAAGCTTAGCATAAGAGCTCAACTTTTCTGTATTGTGGTAAGAATGTGACTGTTAGGTGATTTAGTAGATGTCTTAACACAACAGAAAATGGAGTGGTCAGATGCAGCATTACAGCTGTTATAATACATCACTGTTGCTGGCTTCTCGTAGGAAGAGTATGAAGAACTGCTTCGCTACGCTATTGTGAATCCAAATGTTGACTCCAGTGCTTCCCAGCCGTCTCATCCGAAGGGAGAAGGGGCACCAGATAGATTTCCTGCGCTCGCGGGTATGCTTTGCTAACTAGTTTATGCACAGATACCACGTAAGATCCTGAGTTTGTCAGTGATGCTGACGTGACTGGAAACGTTCCTTACCATCAGCATTTTCTTGTCAATCCATGGTGTAAAGCAGTACCATGTGGGCCTGCCTTACACTTTACTGTGTTGTTCCTGGCTCCTTTTATTTAAACTTCGGTTGACTTTTAACTGAAAGTTACTAAAGTCAAACCAACCCAGTCGCTATTATCTCTTAGTGGACTATATTATGCCCCAGTTTTTGATCTAGAAGTTTTATGCCAGGATTACTTTGAAAACTAACTGCCCAAGCCCATCTTTAAAGATGATCCTGACACTGCCCTCAGAATCCCTTAAGTTACTCTAGAACCACCTGCTGGTTCTTTGTCAGCAGGACCTACATGGGCATGGAGGGTGGTTTGGATCACAGCACAAAGGTGGACCTTCTTGTGGACTGTCAGCAATAGACACAGACTCTGTGTATGTGTGTGTGTGTGTGTGTGTGTGTGTGTGTGTGTGTGTGTGTGTGTGTGTGTGCTTATATAATAGATATTATATCTATATATTAGATACATAGGTACATAGACAGTAAGCACAGTGTCCTCAAGTACAACTGGGCAATAAATACATGAAAAATATTTGACCTCTGTAACAATCAGGGAAATGCAAATCAAAACCATATTGAAGTTCCCCTCGCACCCCACAGAAAAGCTGTCATCTGGAACACAAAAACAACCAATATGGTAAAAGATAAGACTTACACACTGCTTGTGGGAATGTGACTTGTGCAGCCACTAAGAGAGTCATTGTGGAAATTCCTCTCTAAATGGACATGAGTTATGAAAAATGATTTAAAATTAGTTGTTTTTCTAGTTCTAATTCTGTTGTGGATTTGGGCTTGGATGGTAGGTAAGTGCATAAAATATAATTGATACTAAAAGTATAAAACTTAATGTGGAGCTTCACAGCTTCCATTCTGAATGCCATTTCTAGCTGTATTGTGTTGTGTAGTCTTTGGGCCTGGTTAATTTTGGTGTGTGATTTTATTTATTTGCAAAGTGTTTTTTTTTTTAAATAATAATGATGGTGAGATTTAAAAAATAAACTGAAACTAGACCTACCATATGACTCAGCTGTATGCCCCTGGCTATACACTCAGGAAAGTCCAAGCTAGTGTACAATACTTGCACACCATGTTTATTGCAGCACTATCTATTTACAATAGTCATGGCATATACCTGGAGAACAGTAGAATGTTGGTCCGCCATGAAAAACAAAATGTTTGCAGAAAAATCAATGGAACCTGAGAATCAAGTTAAGCAAAATAAACCAGGCTTAGAAAGACAAATATTGCATGTTTTCCCACATATGGAGAATATGGATTTTTTTTAATTTATTTAAGACATAAAAACAGAAGGAGTACTGTTTAAAAGGGAGAGGATCAGAAGAGCAGGGACACCAGAGGAAGGAAGGGATGTGTATGTCATCTGCAGCCTGAGAATGCCACAGCGAAGCCATTATCTTTACAGTGCATACACACATTTTGATTTCAGTAGTTCAGTTTAATTTTAAAAACCTTTTTTTTTTTTTCAGGAAATAACCCTGTAAAAGAAACTGCAATGGAAGTTGGAAAAGGATGTGACATGTCCAGCCATTCAAAATCAGGTGAGATGACATTTCCTGTTTGTTTCAGTATTGACAGTGTGCTAACAGGAGTAATGTCAGCATAGTACTTAATAACCAGATCTTAAAATGCTCTTGTTGCTAGTTTACATGATAATATTTAAATCTTGGGCAGTATCTTTGAAGGTGGTCTTTCAAACTCTTACGTTGTATGATTCTATTTTGTAAACAGTGAATATATATTTTCAACAATAAAAGCACAGAGCCTATTGGACTATGCTTACAATCCCACCACTTAGGACACTGAGACAAGTTTAAGGCCAACCTGGGCTACATAGGGTCTATCTCAGAAAAACAAACAAAAAGGGGAAAGCAGATATATATTACATAGCAGTTATACAACTTAGGGAATAATTTCCCTTCTTGCAAGGAGTTCTGGAAAGATTTGCTTTTAAATAACAAGTTCTATAGTAATTCTGCCCTTGATTCATTCTGCAAGAAAGATAGGAAAGCCGTCAGTCCTGGTTATTAGAATCTTTATAGTTAATGTAGAATAAATGAAAAATGGATAGTGTCTAATTCTAGTAAATCTGGAATAGATTAGATTGCCTTTTCTATTTTATGCTTTGTAGAGGTAGAGACCAGTTAATCTGTCTGGCTCTAGCTCTCCTCCACTCCCTCGATAATAGCAAGTGATGAGAGTTGTGTGTATATGTACAGGCATGAAGATTGGTGTACATATTTCCTATCCATAGTATCTGATAAACTAATCAGCCCCTTTAAATTATCAAATCTTAAGGATGGTAGGCTGGTACCAGCACTGAATATAAAGCAGTAGTGATCTATATACAACCACCTTCACTTGGTTAATTAATTCTACAAGCCTCGGTTTTCTCCTTAAGGTCGAGAAAATACCTTCCTCTTAGGATGGCATGTGTGTGCTAACCCTTAAACATTTTTTATCACAGCAACATAAAAGGCACTTTGTTAATGTTAATGTGATGGTGTGGTTTTCGGTTCATACTGGTCTAGGATAGGACACATCCTTGTTTGTCCTGAGAGCCCTTTGTGAAGGGTAGGAGGGGTACAGGAGGCATCTCGTGCTAGTCAAACCTCCGTCGATGTCAGCACTGATAGCACAATCACCCACACTGAGTGTACCTCAAGGGGAACTTCTCTGTGCTTTCCTCAGCCTCCAGAGTTGACAGACATCTGGACGCCTTTAATATGCCTTTGCTGGTTGGAGGATTTTCCGTTTGACCTGGCTGCTGCTTGACTGCTTTGCCTTTCTTCTAGGGGCATCCCCGGTCCTGTCACCCAGGAAGGTCTCTCATCCAGTCATGGATTTTTTCAGTTCACATGTTTTAGGTGACTCTTCCTCACCAGCCTCTGCTTCTACTCGTACAGATGCCCATGAAATGATTGTGGGCGACCGTCTTGTTTCTGATGAAAATCTTCAGAAGGTGGAGAATGTACTTGACCTCTGGAGTTCAGGTCTGAAGGTATTGCGGCTGCTCTGCTCCAGCGTGCTGTAGTCTGACACTTGAGCCTACTCTCTATTTTCTTTCTTTCTTTCTTTCTTTCTTTCTTTCTTTCTTTCTTTCTTTCTTTCTTTCTTTCTTTCTTTCTTTCTTTTCTTTCTTTTCTTTCTTTCTTTCTTTTCTTTCTTTTCTTTCTTTTCTTTCTTTTCTTTCCTTCCTTCCTTCCTTCCTTCCTTCCTTCCTTCCTTCCTTCCTTCTTTCTTTCTTTCTTTCCTAGAAAACAAAACCTAAACCTTTAGGTTCCTGGGATGATCCATCCAGTGTCTTAGATTTATGCTTCTTGGTCTTTAATGCACATATGAACTGCCTTGGTTTCTTGTTGAGCTGTGGGTTGTACTCAGTTTGTTTTAGATAGGGCCTAACATTACATGTTTCTATTATGCTCCTAGGTAATATTTCTGGTTTCTAAACCATGCTTTGAGTTGCAAGGTTTTATTTAAGGAGTTGCTAGGATTCTGTATGTTCCACCACATTTCTTGTGTGTTTGAAAGGGCTTCTTGACGACATGCAGTGATGACGGACACTATTTCAGTCCCTTCAGACCGTAGTGCTGACACATAGAGTGTTAGGAGGGCCATACACTTGGAGTCCCAGCTGCTTGGGAGGCTGAGATTGGAGGACCTTTTATGTTTAAAAAATATATACTACCAATGTATATTAATTTTATAGCAGCCACAATATATGTCTGAAGATTCTATGAAAATATTTTTGTTGGATGATGTTAGTAGCCTGCCAATAAAACAGTATTACAGAAATGTCCCAACTTTTACTATTTTTTTTTTTTTTTAATGGAGAGGGCTGGACAGATGGCCCAGTAATTAAGAGCAAAAGTCCTACTCTTGCAGAGGATTGAAGTTCAGTTTCCAACACCCTGTCAATGGGTCACAACCTGCTGGAACTCTAGCCATAGCATCTGAAACCTCTGGCCTCATGGACACCTACGCTGATGTTCACATACCCATACAGAGACTTACACATAATTTAAAACAAATATCTTTTTAAGTAATATGATCTAACTATTCTAAAAATGGAGTAAATGAACTTTTCTGAAGCATATAATTATGTATTTACATATATAAAATTATGATCATGTGAATTCTGTGACTTCTGTATCTTCCTGTTATTTGAAACTTTAAACTCTAGCAATACTCTGGAGCTGTGTCTACCATCCTCCCCTTGGGATAGGTTTCCTGGGGTGGGGATAGGGGAGATCTGTTGCCGTATTGCACAGACAACCATTCAAACTGTTTTCTGTCCACCAATACTATTTATTGAAGGCTTTTGTTGGTTTTAGATGAGCATTGATTACTTGGTGTTTTCACTCATGCCCGTCAGTAGGGTAAATGAGCTTAGCTCTTTGTTGTAAGGTAACTATTGTGGGAAATTCTTTTGGGGAAAACTTCAGCACCATGGTTTCACCTACCACCACCACCGCTAATCAGCCAATCATTGGGCCTCAGCTTAGCCCGTACTCCTGCATTTCTTCACCTGATCCATTTTTTGTTTACACGGTTTTGACATTTTATTTTTTTAATCCTATGTGTAGGGATATCTTGCCTCCATGTATGTAAGTGCTTGCATGCCCGTGGAATGACAGGAGAAGGTATCCGATCCCATAGGACTAGAGTTCAGATGGCTAGCCACCACATGAGTGCTAGGAATTGAGCTCTGAGCTCAGCTCTTCTAGAAGAGCAGCCAGTGCTCATAACTAACTGCTGAGCCCTCCCTCCAGCCCCACCTAATCTATTTTAGTATGGACATTTAAGTCTATGACTACACAAAAGAGTTTAGTGAATAAAACCCGATTTTTTTTTAATGTCATAAGATTTCATACAAAGTAACATAAAATGGAAAACTAGTTCCCTTGGTGTGGTGAATGAACTGTGAAGAGCCACGGCTGCTGAACTTGCAAACATCATTTATTAGTGTGTTGTGATTTTTTTTTAATAGCTCTTGTTTTGACCTGGTCTTTTTTAATGTTTATGTTCAGTTTAATTTTAAGAATGATTTGAAAGAACAAATAACTTATTTTCAGTATGTTTTCTCTTCAGACAAACATTATATCCGAACTAAGTAAGTGGAGACTTAATTTTATTGACTGGCACCGCATGGAGATGAAGAAAGAGAAGGAGAGGCATGCGGCACTTGTAAAGCAGCTCTCCAGCCAGATCGCGGACTTGAAGGAGCTGCAGAAAGCTTTTGAAGTTTCCATCGGAAGAAAGGATGAGGTCCTCTTTTCTATGCCTCCCTTTGAGTGAGACTCAGCAGGTTCTCAGTGGAAATACAGTCCTGAGAACTACTGATTATCCTGCTCCTGTAAGGCAGAAAGAGAAACTAAGTGCACAGCCCTCTTAGTAGGCCAAGTGTAGAGGGTTCCATCCAGAGCTCTGGCTTTGGTGTCTGCTGGTGTTTGAAGAGTCTGAGCAGTGTAGACACAGACATACTAGGTTCTTCTGCCTCGTCGTTTTTGTAACAGTCATTGGCATTAAGGAGCCAGCATTCCCTACATCTTCATCCTTGGAGATGACAGGATGAGCATCTCAAATTCTATCAGGGAGATGTATTTGTTCACGGATGGAGATAAACACAGGAAATACTCTTTACTTCCTCTTGGCTTCTTAGAAACCCGAGGGTAGAGTTCAAACTGGTCCGAGTTTTTGGCCTCCTAATCACATCATAAGCAAAGTGAATCTGTGCCCCTGCTGACGCCCATCTGTTTATGGAGGCGAATGTGCTAGATGTCACAGAAGGACTCAGGGCAGACACCTCAGCAGCTTGCCTGGAGAAGTAGCACGAGGGTGTTTAATGAATCAGATAAAAGTGGCAGGTTCATTATTGCTTCACTTTTTGAGACAGGGTCTCACTGTGTCGCCTAGGCTGGCCTCCAACTCAGTGTGTAGCCCAGGCTGGCCTCTCAAGTCCTAGCTGTCTCCTAACTTATGGGATTATAGACATAATCCACACAGCAAGCAAGATGATGTTTTTCCAGATGTACATTGTTTTTGTTCTTTATGGGTATAGTAGAAAATCAAACATTTAATGTAGTTTCCTTTGTTTGAAACATTGTCAGTCATTTTCTCTATTATCTTCAAACTTCTGATTTTTCTGACCCTGAAGTATCATACAAAATGAGTATGTTTATGTTCTATTTATGAAAATGGATTAAATGAACAGCCATATATCACCATCCAGCTTAAGACATAGAATGTAGTGGACAACTTAGAATGCCCTTTTATATTTAGAAAGGGAAAGCAAGGCTGGGCATGGTATGCGTGTAATCTCTGTATTTAAGAGGTGGAGGCAAGGAGAATCACAGGTTCAAGACCAGCTGTGAACACAGCAAGACTCTTGTCTCTAAGGGGGGAAAACATAAACTAGGACTCAGTGTCTTGTGGTAAGTGTTTGTGGTTTACTGAGGAGGTCCTTCCAGTGTGTTACTCGGTTCTCTGAAAAAGAGAGTTTATCTTAAGAGTTAAATGCTTTTTTTAAGCATAGTAATAATGTCATTCAAGAAAACCATTAAAACAGAACTATTGCTTTTATAAATCTGTTGAAATCACAAAGTAATTAAACACTGAGACACTTCTATATCCAAGGTCAAGGACTAGGAAGACATTTCAAAGCAGGCCCTTTCTATAAGTCACCTAAGTACAGACTTTATACACATGTAACAGAACTTTCAAATGCACAGTTATCTTCATGAGGGAAATGGTAATCAGTATGTTATCCTCATGCATGTGAACTCTATTGGAGAGTAGCATGATATACACAATGAAGATTTCTTTCCCTTTTTCCCATCATTCACGTGGGAAACATGGCCTTTGTGATAATAGTCTATGCTGAGCATGCTGGCAGATGCCTGCAATCCCAGCACTCAGGACTCTGAGTAGGAGGAGAATCACAAGTTTGAGTTCAGCCTAAGCTACATAGTGAGACTATTTCAAAAAACAGAAAGATGAGCTGATTGATGACTAGTGTAGATACCCATATTATTCTCTATAGCATGAGGAAATGACTTTCAAAAAATGAATAAGCTGAGCAGCCAGGCAGGCACCCTCCAGCTTAAGACAGAATCAAACACATAAGGATGTGTGCCCTTCCCCAAAGTCAGTTGCCTCTGTGATAGCATCCCAGTAACTGGGTTATTACGTTCACAGGTGATTTCCAGCTTGTCTCATGCCATCGGCAAGCAAAAGGAAAGGATAGAGTTAATGAAAACCTTCTTCCACTGGCGAATCGGCCATGTCAAAGCAAGACAGGAAGTGAGTATAAACAGATGACCACTGTCAGTTATCAGTGAGACTTTAGGGTGGCTCCCTAGAACTCTTGGTAAAGTCAAAGATTTGTTTTCTAATGAGTCAATATAAATTAGGTCAGAATGTTGCTCTGATTTCAAAGAAATTTGAGTTTGATGCATTTAGAAAAATACCTCTCAGATGGTATTAAAGTAGGACGCATATTTCATGACAGATAAACCATTTGCTGCTTCATTGTAGTTTAACAAGGACTGTACCTAACTTACAAATGCCTTGGTAATGAGACTCTTTTCCGAGACCTGACCTCGGAAGCAGTTATTTGGAAAAAGAATGTATGGCCTTAAGCGGGTCATTTGCTTCCTCCATTGTTTCTGCTTCTGACATGTCTCTCCAAGAGGAGCAGCATGGCTGTGTGTTCTCAGCTACTCAGGAGGCTGCAGCAGGGGGATCACTGGAGCCTGGTGTCTGAGCCCAGCCTGGGCACCATAGCAAGACGCTGGCTCTAAAAGAAATGCTGATGATAATGAATAGTCAAACACAACCTCTTCATAAACAGATACTCCTATATTTACACATCCAATGATGCAGGTGGTGTTCGTCCAGACTTAACTTAGTGTGAGACTCAAAGAAGGTCATGTTAAATAGGTTTTTACAAGGTTATACCTGAATATCATTACTTTAAGTAAATGCTGAAACAGTGTATCAAAAATAGTGATATTTTTGTGATATTTGTTCTTTATTAAAGTAATAAAGAACAATATATTACCGAGGCCAGAAATGTTTGTATGAACTGTGATCGGAGCAATCAACAGGCTGAGGCAGGAGGATTGTGAATTGTCAGCTTAGCATGCATAACAAGACTGTCTTTTAAAGGACAAAACACTGTTAAAAGTAGAAAAGTGGGGCTGGAGAAAAGGCGCAGCAGTTCAGAGTGCCTGCTGCTCTTGCAGAGGACCTCAGTCCCCAGCACCCACAGAAGGTGGGTCACAACCAGCTGCAGCTCCGGCCCCAGGGATCTACCGCCTCTGGCCTCCACAGGTGCCTGTGTGCATGTTCACGGACACACATGTATACAAAACTAAAAATAACTTTGTTCAAAACACAGAAAAGTATGAGTACGTATATGCCAGAAAAAGACATAGATAAAGGAAATTAATATAGAGATAAAGGAAACGAATATAGATTGTATAGACTATGTTCACATAGCCCTGGAGTAGTCCTAAGAGATCAATGCTTATGAAGAAAATTATCATGGATCTCCTTTAAGAGTACCTTGTATTAATCCAAGTGGATCAAATACACATGCATCACGTTGAAACTAACTGTCTGGGGGTTGGGGACAGGGCTCAGTCAGTAAAGTGACTGCTGGTCTGCGGCATAGGCATTAGGGCCTGAGCTCACATCTCTAGCACCCAAATCAAAGCCAGGCATAACAGCACTGGGGGGAGACCGGAGGATCCCTAGAACTTCTGACCACCCCAGCTGAGTCAGCCTCTAAAACTAAGGTGGAGAAATAGAGTAAGATAACCTACATGGACCTCTGACCTACACGTACATACATACATGTACATGCCCATGTGAGCATGCATACACCACACACAGGAGGAAGGTAGGTAGGTGGTAGGTAGATAGAGTAGATAGATTTGATTGATTGATTGATGAGACTGTCTAAAATGAGTGCCATAATTTAAAATTATGTATTAAGTGACTCATGATGAGAATGTATATTTTTAAATGCTGGCTGGACTTGTCAAGTTGCCATCACTTTTGAATAGTATCTTAATTTTAAGAAAATGAAGACATGCAACTACTTGAAAAGCACGCACTGATCGAAGAAAAATAGTTTATGCCGTGCGGTGGTGGCACATGCCTTTAATCCCAGCACTCGGGAGGCAGAGGCAGGTGGATCTGTGAGTTTGAGACCAGCCTGGGCTATAGAGTGAGTTCCAGGACAGGCATCAAAACAACACAGAGAAACCCTGTCTCGAAAAAAAAAAAAAAAAAAAGAAAAAGAAAAGAAAAATAGTTTATGTTCCCTGTTCTGTTCAGCTTGGTGTGGAGTGTGACGACAGTGTGAGTTGAGTGAATTAACTTTTTCCACCAAAGGAAAGAGAATGTAGTACAGCCTGAACCATAGCCACCACCTTGTTGCCTTCCAGCCTTTCTCTGACTCTCTGCTCCTGCTTTCAGCAGAGGTCATGCAGACCCATGACTGAGGTGACAAGTTTTTGTTGTTTTTTCTATTGACTTGATAAGCCATGTTGAGCTGTGATCTCATGGCTAAGAACACAGGCTCTAGAACCAGGCAACTCTGACGTCTCCCCCTGTGGCCATGCTGGTTCCTGAACCTCTCTAAGCCAGTTTCCATGTACAGCAGAGTGATGGACAGGATTAGTGATAACACTCATGCACTTCCCACCATCTATTTTTTGTTACACTGCCCGTGCATTTGCCAGTTCTCTGTGGTTCTGAGGTTGCGTGTTGCTTTTGTTCAGGTCTATGAAGGTAAACTGGCTGACCAGTACTTCCAGAGAACTTTGCTGAAGAAAGTCTGGAAGGGCTGGCGTTCCGTGGTGCAGAGGCAGTGGAAAGAAGTGGTGGAGCGCGCGTGCCAGGCAAGGGCTGAAGAAGTCTGTGTGCAGCTCTCCAATGACTATGAAGCCAAACTTGCCATGGTAAGCTGTTTTCAAACAAGAACACGGCCCACAGAATCAACCAAAGGGTCCTAAGGCTCACAGAAACTGAAGCAAGAATCACAGAGCCTGTGTGGGTCTGAGCTAGGTCCTTTGCTATGTGCTATGGTTGTGTAGCTTGGTGCTCTTGTGGGAATCCTAGCAGCGGGGGTGTCTCTGACCCTTTCATCTGCTCTTGGGACCCTTTTCTTCCTACTGGGTTCTTCCTACTCGTCCAGCCTTGATGTGAGAGTTGTGCCTAGTCTTGTTGTAACTTGTTACGCCATGTTCAGTGCACATCCCTGGGAGACCTGCTCTTTTCTGAAGGGAAGCAGAGGAGGAATGGATCTGAGGGAGAGGGGAGGTGCGGTGGGGGACTGAGAGTGGGGGGAATTGGTCAGGATATAATATATGAGAGAAGAATAAATAAAAAATAAAATTTCTACTTTGTATATAGAAGGAATGTATAGACTCACTATAAGTTAGGCTATGATTTTTTTTTTTAGTGTTTATATAGCCAAGAACAAAAATTTAAAGATGTTTATCTTTATTAATTTAAATAAACTATGCTTATATGTAAATTTGATATAAAGCAGATGTATATAAATTGAATTATTTTTCCTCTGGCTTTCAATAATAGAATTAACATTGTTTCCATAGGAAATCATTTGGATCATGAAAGGGGGAGAGGAAAACTAGACATTTAGAATGCAAAGGGCCTTTTGAAATCCTATTAAAAGGAAAAAGAAAGTCTTTCTTATGACACTAAATAATATAAAAATAAATTTTACAGAGCTAGAGAGATGTCTCAGTCAGTAAACTACTTACCTTATGGGCAGGAGGAACCAAGTTCAATTCTACTTTCTTTTTTTTTTTTTTTTTTTTTAAAGATTTATTTATTATGTATACAGCATGTATGACTGCAGGCCAGAAGAGGGCACCAGATCTCATTACAGATGGCTGTGAGCCACCATGTGGTTGCTGGGAATTGAACTCAGGACCTCTGGAAGAGTAGTAGCCAGTGCTCTTAACCTCTGAGCCATCTCTCCAGCTCCAATTCTACTTTCTTAAAGAGCTGGGCTCAGTGTTGTGTCCTTGTAATCCCAGCACTGTGGAGCCTGAGACAGGAGGCTCCCTGGGCCTCACTGCAGTAAGCTAACCAGATCAGTGGGTCCCATACCTGTGAGAGACCTGCCTCAAAAAACAAGGTGGACAGGAACCAAAGAAAACACCTGAGGTTGATCTCTGACCTCCACATGCACACACAGATAACACATGTGCATCCATACACATGCATCTGCACAAACATGTACAAACGTACAGAAATAAATAATTTTTTTATATATATATTTTTTTATTTTACAATACCATTCAGTTCTACATATCAGCCATGGGTTCC